ACTTTCTGTCAGGTATGATGCCAAATTCCATTCTTAGTTTGCCACAAAATAAACTAATTACTAGTACACAGTTCTAAATAATGTGGGAAATGGGTTTCCTAAAGGAGAAGGAGCAACACTTTTGTCATTGAAATTCCTACATTCAACATTTTAGTTACACTGATTTATTTTCTTAACTGTCCCTAAGCATGTGATGCTTGTTATTTAAAAAAATGCTTCTACTCCCCATTTAACCCATTACTAGAGGTTAATTAAGTGTCTGAAATACACTTAAACAAAATAAAAAGGCTATTTCATCTCAACCACACAGCTAGAGTCAGCACAGTTTGTATGATGATGCATTCCTGGATTGTTTATTTCTGTCCATCTCTTCCACATGGATGCAAGTGAAATCTGATTATAAAATCAGTATTCCACTCCTTTTCAACTACAGTATCTGTGACTGGACAGAACTTAATTCCAGGTGCAAAAATATATTTTTTTTTAATCCAACTTCATTTTTACTATAAACTGTTGTAAAAAGGGATTTGGTGTATTATGCATTACATTCCATCATACAGTACAGTATGTTCTTGACCTAAGGTAAACTCCGTAGAGAAATGTCAGGCTTTTTGACAAACATACTCTGTCAAACTTGTAAGTCTGTTGTTTTCCCCAGTGTTTGCATGTCATAGGAACTCACTTGCTCCCCAGCATAGTTCTACAAGGAAGTGCTTTCTGAGAAATAATATTTTTAAATTGAACTAGATTTGGTTGTCTTGCATGTGCTTGAACAGACAGATGGAAGTCTGAAATATTTAATTCATAAATTCACTCAGTGTGAAGCTTTTTTGTTATGAAGGCATTACATCTGAGTGTCTGAATATTTGAAGGAATATTAAATTCAGAATTGGCTTTCATCAAAAAAACTTGTATTATTTAAAAGACTTCAAAATGTCTTGAGCAAAACTGAATATGAATAAGAAACAGACTGAAAGTGGGCATCCTAATACTTACCTTAATAAAATATTATTGTTGAATATCCCCTTTATCATGCAAGCATTAGAAAAAGGTCATGTGGCCAATAAAACAGGTTGCTATGCATTTAATATATTCAAGTTGTTTTAAAGACACTAAAACAACATTTTTTTCAAATGTTATTGCAGTAGGTACATATTAGATCTTGAAGTTACAGTTTCTGTAACTATTAAAACCACACACAAATGCATATTACAAATGCATTTCAGAGTTACACAGTTTTATATCTCAAGCAATTTTAAAGTTAGAGCTATCCAGGTTAATTCAAGTAGCTGAGAAATTGATGGTCACAGGGTGAAATGTATGCTGGAGAAAGTGGCCTCTCTATTGATTCTTATCACAGGATCCCTCTCAGATGAGCTCATTATGTAATTAGACCTTTACCTGCTCTGAAAATGATACCCTAAATAGACTTCTCATGGCTTTGAAGTCAGCAGTTCAATCCATGTTAATTTATAAGGGAAAGGAGTAAAGACATTGAGGCAGCTTTTTGAATCTTGAACAGCTACTGTATAGTACAAAAGACTTTCACTCTAACATATTCCTTTAGGGAAAATTTGTCAGTTATTCTGAAGCATATTAGAAGTATTAGTAACTATACTTTATGAAGAAGAAAAAAAAGCTCCAGCAACTGCTGTGTCTGGAAGAACTGTTTCTTCATATCCCATATCCTAAAATAGAATTTTAACAAAACACATTCTGTGATGACAAAGATTCTCTTCTTGGTGTCAAGCTTAGTGCTGTGAAACATTTGTTTGATGAGTTCTGTCAGTACTTTTTCCCTTGAGAGGACTAAATAACTGTTACAGAATGATAGAATTAGTTTATGCACATTTAAATCATGCAAAATGTAACCATGCTTTAAATGGGATGCATGTCCTGAATATATTAAAAAATAAATAAGATAAATGGTTTAGAACGGACAAGTCATGATATCTTAATATATGAAGCCAAAATAGTAAAAGTGATTGCTTAAGATTATTTCTGCCACAGATATCTGCATGGCTTTGTAATGGTAAAATGTGATTTGTCTTTCTACAGTCATACTATATTCTTGGGTACGAAGCTTCATAGCGTCTGTCAGCATTTATTTAGTATTCTTGTATTATTGTTTCAATAAGACTGCTCTACCTTTCCTGTAACAGTAAATATGAAAGGAAAAGCTTTTTTACAAGAAGAAAGATTTTTTTTTTTTACATCAGCACGTTGCATGGTGCCTATGCAACTGCCATGACTCATATTAAGGAAGAAAAGAAAATATGTAAAATAACACCCAGGATAGCTAAGGCAATCCGAGTAGGCAGAAATAATTATTTTTCTTATATCATGAATCAAATAAATGCTTACATGCCAGTGCGGTATGTAGAGTGTCACATACAGGAATTACAGTTTACACAATAGCCTGCTTATGTACTATATTTTATTTAGTTGCAGTGCATTTCAGTTGGAACTAGATTGCTTCCAAATGCATGAAATAAATGTCCAGTTGTTCCTCTAAAATACACTGTAAAATATACAGTACTATATTTCAACCATTTATATCAATGCAGTCTGGAAAAAAACACCAGTGCTTTCTGTTTTGAACGTTAATCAAAGAACAAATAATGTAAAACTCTAAATCAAGGTTAAAAAATGTAAAAACATTTTTATCCATCTGTAACAAAATAAATGCATCAGAATTAATTTATATCTTGATTCCCATTTCCAGGGATTAAAAACAGCTTTCTGTGTTTATTAACATCCGCCAAGTTAATTGCATAATTTTCATGCAGAACAAGTTTGTTATGCAGTAATCTGAATGGGATAAGCTGTTATTAATTGTCTAGATTTCAGGTCTCTTATTGTACAAAGTAAGATTTTTATAATGAACAAAAAGATAAATAAAACAGTATTGTATTATTTTATTCCATCCTTCTCCACTATCTTGATATTTAAATGAATGCTTTTTTTCTACTTTATTTCCTCTTAGTCTTTGGATTTCTAGCAGCTATTAGAAAAATACAGTAAATGTCTGGACAGGTTTGAGGCACCGCAAGCCAATAAATGTTCACACTGTGATGTACCTAGCCTCTGGATACATGTAGATATTCTGAGAACAAGCAAAAGCAGTGTTCTACTAAGGCCGAAATCATTATTCCCCATTCAACACCAATGCATACATACACTTCAAAAATTGATGCAAAAATGAAGTAAAATGAAAGTGGCAGAGCTGCACTTCTAGGAATGTTTATAGGTTTTACAAGCCTCAAGTACAAGTCTCAAGTTGCAGCCTTTTAGCAAAGTAATTTATCCCAGCATACTTTTAGGACCTGGATTCCTGGCCTAGTCCCCCCAGTTTATCAAAAAAAATTGGTGGTGTCAATCTAAGCATACCTTTCTGAGATGAAACTGCACTTGTGTTGTATTCAAAGTTATCGAAAGGCATTATTTGGTGTTTACTGGCAAATAACATCTGTCAGAACAAGCTTATTTGATTCAATCCCCTAAACATGCCTAAGACAAATCTTGATGTGGTTATCTGCTTTGGATTTGCTGAAATGCACTTGTAAGCACAGAAAATCCATGGTGGAATCAAATGAAACATCGAAAGACCTGGAAATATTTTTAAATTAATAAAAAGCTGGATTTCTAAAGTTGCATTTTCTTTTGAAGTCATGCAATGGCCATGTGTAATTTGCAGTCCTTGATTTAGCAACATTTTCAAGAGAATGAAATTGTTTTCAAAATGTTTATTTCAAAAACAGTACCTGGCAGTTAACTTTTTAGTCCCAGATCACTATCATATCAAAAAGATATGAACACACAAGCCACTATAATCAAGAATATTAAAAATGTAGTTTTTAGTCCCAGAGTGAATATTAAACAACCACTGGATTTTTTCTGTAAAGCAGACAGACATCCCTTTTTTTAGGATTAAAGTGAAATTTAAATTTTCCAGAAGAGTAGGTGCTGTCATTCTAGACTTATGTCTTACAGCCTCCTCTTGATGTCACTACTTTTCTTTAACACCAAAAAATAACAACTTCAGTGCAGTCTTGATAAGAAAATTTAATTACCTTATTCTGCACAAACCTCTTAAAAATCACAGAGAGGCATCTTTATTGAGTCTGTTGTAGCTGGCTGAGATATAAGATCTAATATTCTGCATTATCTTGAATTATGCACCATTTAACAGCTGGCCAGAGCTCAATCAAAGAAACTAGGTGATTTGCAGAATGTCATTTAATGAGTATATGTACATTACCATGTCCAAAGGAACCTTAAGAGTGTTACATAAATGACCAGTTGAACCCCTCCTGAGTCAGAAAGAATGTTACTTTCTGGAATAAAAATTGGGAAATGAAGGGTTAATGTCCCGTGACTATCAGTATTTAATTTTTTTTGCCAAAGATTTATTGTGCAGAAAATATGGCATTCACAGCAGACAACTTCACATTGAGTGATGAGCTCTGAAAACACTGTCACTTGTCACTGTCGCTATAAACTGGAATTCAGCTAAATTGAGTTATTCCTGCTTATGTATTTCAATAAAGCCCACAATATTATACCACAGTGGCTCTGAAATATTTAATCTATTTCGATACAATACACACATCCAAAAAGTTGAAGTTTGAAATACAATAGGGGTGTTTCACCGGTTATCTTATCGCTCACTGATATAGTGTTTTCTAATTTATATGTTTTTTTTTGCTGGGATAGACTCAGGCTCCCTCGCAACCCTGAATTGGATTAAGCATTTAGAAAATGGATGGATGTTTTTTTGTTGTTGTTGTTTTATGTCTGGGTTATATTGCTTGCTGTATATTGTATATTTCTTCTGTAATCAGGTTATTGCATCTTAAAAAGTATTGAACTAATATTTTTTTATAGTGATAGGCGCTATAGTAAATTTGCAAAAATCTATTTATTGTAACCATGTAATCCTCAATGCCTGTAGAATACCTTACTTATTGCAGTATGTCTTCATTTTCTTAATTCCATAGGTGAGCCTAACCCCAGGGTGCATCCGTGCACTCATGAAGATGCTGTACTGCCCATACTGTCGAGGGATGCCTGCAGCAAAGCCATGTGACAACTACTGCCTGAATGTCATGAAAGGATGCCTTGCAAACCAGGCTGATCTTGACCCAGAATGGAATCTCTTCATAGGTAAGAAGTGGATCTCAGTATTTTGGGATTGTCAAACAGAGAAAAAAAACTTCAAACTTTAAGATCTTGCATTTTTTGCCTTGCTTATCAGTGTTGCAGTGCTGACAGGCTTAGTGCACGATACCTGATATACTATACAGTAGGTACAGTACCTACAGTTTGATTCCTCATGCAATGTCCCTGCTTCTGAACAATCTGTATGAATATTGAAACTTTTATTCTTTTTACACTTTATTTCTTGGGAATCTGGGTTTTGTATAAAACATTAAAGCTTTCCAACAGAACATATTAGTAAGCCGCACTTTAGAAGAAGCTGACAAGGCAGCTGTCAGTAATCCTCCAGAGACAACGTCATGTCTCTCCAGAGAGTTCTTAAATGTTTCAGTATGGTAGGGCACCAGTGCACTGAGTGAGATGTTTCAGAATCATGTGACAGATACTGTATGAAAACATGTGCAAGACCTACGAAAAACCAAGGGTTTTCAGTTTTTATATAAAGCTTCCACTATTTATTTTAAGCAGTAATATTCAAAAGTGTAGTTTCTGAAGCTTTTCATAGTTAGAGAAAACAGTACAATTCTTTGTCTCATTGAGACATACTGTAAAACGGAACACACCATAGTATAACCGCATACCTTGATATATTCAAAGTAATTAAAACAATCTGTGGAAAAATATGAATTTTCATTATTGTTAAACAGTACTGCTATGGTCAAAGCTGCTTGTGATATGTTCTTAGTGTTCTAGTGTTCTGGGGTTTTCAGCAATTTTCATATTAGTATGGCAGTGGGTCAAATTTATATTTCCACTGGTTACCATCGTGAGAGTCATTTGTGAAAAATTGAGTCAGTATAAAGTTCTTGCATTCTCTTGTTTAATGAATTGTTAATTTTTAGATGCTTCCCATCTTTAACCATATATAACAGCCAGAAACTCACTAATTATGTTAAAGGCATTATGAACGTTTGCTTCTTGACACTTGCCAGGACTACTGTACATGATTTGCTAATTTCCCAGATACATGTTTTGCTGCTTTCCTAGTTCATTTAGCAAACATACAGTAAATGAAACTAAATTAGTAAGTATGTAAATCTGTTTAAAATATATTTTTAAAATATCTTTTCAAAATCAGGGAGAGCACTCCCCCTGCAATCTGAATGCCAGGAAGCCCCTCTGTTCTCTGTTTCTCAGACAGAAAAAAATCAGAAGTAGTGGAACTGCAATTCACTCCCACAATATCTGGACATGGTCACATCCTTCAAAAAAAGTGCTGGCTTCTCAAAATCAGTAAGAGTATGATCAAAATAAAGGGGTGTCAGTGAAACCTAATATAAGTAGTACTTGAGTGTTAAAGTATTTTCCATGAAATAAAATTAAAGTGAATCATTTACAGAACACAGTTTGCTGAATCTATCCAAAAGGCTGTCAAAAGATGGAGATTTTAAAGATACAAATATCTTTATTCCAAATAAAACTAATAATTAGAGATTTCTATAAATTTCTTAATCAATAAGTATACAACAAGACCACAAGACTATACTGTGCAGAGGATACAATGGAAGTTCTGTATCCCCGGGACTGCCATAAGCACATATTGTAGAGCAGAGATATCAAAACAAAAGGGGCACCCAATAAATGAAATGTGGAAAATTAGAATTCCTGCAATGTACACAGGTATAGCGGGAGTTTGGGTCACTTAGTCTCCAGTGTTGGCTTCTTCTAAGGAGACTTGTTCAAAAAACTCCCATCTGGAAAAACAGTGAGCAAAAGTCATGTCAAAGTAAGCAATAGATGAAAAAACCAGGTACAGTATGTGATTTTAAATCAAATTAAGGGGAATTTGAGAAAGGAGCCCTGTGAGAAGAGGCTATCTTAAAGTGTGTGTCAAATGGTCTCTCTCTAGGTAGACTCTTGATTAAAAATATAATTCATCGCTGTCAAGTATACAGTACATGAAACTATACATTCTTTCAGCCAAGAGACTCACATTTTGCACTCTTTTTCTTTTAGTCAAGAAATGTGTTTCATGCCTTATAATTTCTGAGTTTTGAGTTTGGCTGTTCCTTTAGATCATTATCTGTAAATGATTCTGAAAATTCTGAAATTTTACAAGAAACACTGGTAAAGCATTATTCTGCCTTTAATACATTTTCTTTTTTCTGTAATCAGTTTGACACTTAGTTTCTTCTAGCATTTCAGAAAAACAGCACATTACGTTTTAAGTCCTCAGCGTCAATGTTTTTGACATTGGTGTGTTGTAATGTTCTATTTTAAAGTGTGCACGGTCCTACTGGGCTCTAGAATTTTGCACTTCAGTGATGGAGCTTTCTGTGTGATTGTACTTGTTCTGCTGCCTCACTGGTTTCCCTTGTCCCTTGTTGTTTTTGAGAAGTGATGTTATAGTGCTGTACATCTCAGAGCAGTTTTTTTTAGGAAAATACTTTTTAATACTTTAAATTGAATAAACTCTTTTAGGAATGTTTCAATATTTCACAAGAGTTTCACCATAATAGCAGGATTTTAATATATCAAACTAAGTGTATTTTTTTATAAGGGGTAATTAGTGTTTTTTAGAGCTTTGACATTTCCTTTTCATTTCAGCCCTAAATATTTTTAACGAGTCTATGGCCAGACCACAAAGAAGAATTTATTTTCTTTTTGAATAACCATTAACATTTTTGTGGATGAGTTAATGGTCATTAACCTTTTCAGATTAATTTCTTTATATTTTAAATATTTATTGGATGGTTGAATTACTTACAAATATAATTAGATATGAAAATGATTTTATTTTCCTTGATGAGTAAACTCCTCTCTTGAACTAATTTGTAGCTTCTTTTTTCTCATAGTTTTAATGATAATAATAATAGTAATAATAACAATAATAATAATAATTCCTTACACTTAAATAGTGCTTTTCTCATCACACTCAAAGCGCTTTACAGGTAATGGGGACTCACCTCCAACACCACGAATGTGCAGCATCCACCTGAACGACACAACAGTAACAAAAGTGCACCAGTTCACTCAATACACATCAGCTATCAGTGAAGAGGAAAACAGTGATGAAGGGAATTCATAGATGAGGATTATTAGGAGGCCATGATTAGTAAATGCCAAGGGCAATCTGGCCAGGATGCCGGGACCATACCCCTACTCTTTTCAAATAAAAAAGCCCTGGCATCTTTAACAACCAAAGAAAGTCAGGACTTTGGGTTATGTTGTAGGGATGCAAGGAGTCACAGAGCAGTCCATTGAAGGTTTAAGATGAGTTTAATTGTAACACAAATGGCCACTTCTGGAGAACACTGAAGGAGAAACACACAAGGTGTACTCCCCACAGTGCCCCCAATTGCAACAGTTTTACAGAGGGTTTTATAGGCCCAGTCCATTTTATTACCATGAATGGAGGTTAAAGAGTCCACATTCAACTTATGGTCCAGTGGCTATTCTTGATGATGCTGCCCCACCTTTCATCTATTTCTGTGGTATTGCGTACAACAGCAGATGTTTGTTCTAAAATTCTCCCCAAGCCAGGTTAGGAGACCAGGTCAATGACCAAAGACCAGAGACAGATATCTTCAACGTTTCAACCAAAGGACGACACCTTTTTAGAGTGTAGTGTCCCCACTATACTGGGGCATTAGGACTTTAAGACTGGCCCCACTAACACCTCTTCCAACCCCAACCTTAAGTTGTCCCAGGATTTCTCCCATTCAGGTACTGCCCAGGCTCACACCTGGCAGATTCAGTGGGTTTTCAATGATATGCAGTATTTGCTGTTTTTTAGGAAATCATTAATGTGTTGCCTGATTTCAAATATCTCTGGACATTGATCTCATTTTGAATATTGCAACCCTTCTTAATTTGGAAAGGGTGTCCTTAGTACTGTCTTCTCTTTAATTAACATTTATAATTCAGATGTTCTTCTGTTTTAGTTCCTTGTCATGATGTTCCAAAATTATGAATTTTTTGTTTACCCTGAGGTTAAAGATGCGTCTTGTTCTATAATATAGCTTGCAGTTTATTTAGCTATCCCTGAATTTTATTTTTCAACTAATTTAAACATCTGCTCTTTCATAGCATCATTCAAGAATATTTTGTATTTCTGTTCCAACAGAGAGGAGGCTAAATGTTGCATACATTATTAACACTGTCCTAGTTATTTATAAAAATATTTAAATTAAACATGTGGCTTTAATTACTTTTATGGAAGCAAAAATATATGTATTTTTTATACTTTATATTCTATATGATACATACAGTAGTGACATCGTTATATAAAATATAATAACTAGACATTTATTTATGTCTTGTAAATAAAAATAAAATATTGGGATTTTGGATTTTGTTGAAATATTGTACAGTCATTTTGATTAACTGATTATTTGTGAGACTTAATGCAATATGCACAAAATTTCCTCTTTAATGAGGGAGTTCATTGAGTCAGTCACGCCATATTGAAAATCAAGAAATAAAACACACAGAATGGAATCAATATGGGCTGCTTTTCAAGACAACAATTGCTTCAGTGTCATTCATATTTTTGCTGGTGTAAGTAACCTCATGTGGCCTTTCCAGCAATAGAGCCAAATCCTCTTTGTTGCTGAATTATAGTTTCAGTATGTGTAGACTTCCATAATAGATGTCCGTAAGTGTGACACAGACATGCAGAGAATACACTAATTGTTGTTTACAGCAGATCAATCGATCGTGAGATCGAAGATTTTATGGTCTGGGCAGGAGTGTCTAGTTTCTGCAGAACTATGTTTGTAGTGATTGGTGGCATTCTGACTTAATAGTGCTACATTGATGAAGGTCTAGGACTTCACTTACTGCCCATTCTGAAGGTTTAGCTTGACATGACAGCATTCTAGTAGAGCAACACATGCCATTTTATTTGGGTAACAATAATTTTCTTTAAACATAGTTTATGCTGTGAATGACGTAACTGCCAGACTGAATCCTATCTGAACATACAGTACAGGATGAAATTTGTC